CTCTGGCGGAAGCCGCGCGCGCGCGCTGGGGGCGAGATTCTTCCGCGACTAAATCCCCTCCCCGGCCTGCTCTGGCGGAGGCCGCGCGCGCGCTGGGGGCGAGACTCTTCCGCGACTAAATACCCTCCCCGGCCTGCTCTGGCCAAGGCCGCGCGCGCAGACACACACAGACACACACACAGACACACACAGACACACACAGACACACACAGACACACACAGACACACACACACACACACACACACACACACACACACACACACACACACACACACACACACACACACACACACACACACACACACCAGACACACACACAGAGACACACACACAGAGACACACACACACAGAGACACACAGAGACACACACAGACACACACAGACACACACAGACACACAGACACACACCGACACACACAGACACACACCGACACACACCGACACACACCGACACACACAGACACACACACACACACAGACACACACAGACACACACAGACACACGACACACACACAGACACACACAGGACACACACAGACACACAGAGACACACACACAGACACACACAGGACACACACAGACACACAGAGACACACACAGACACACACAGACACACACACACACAGACACAGACAGACACACACAGACACACAGACACGCAGACTCGCAGACACGCAGACACGCAGACACGCAGACACACAGACACACAGACACACAGACACACAGACACACAGACACACAGACACACAGACACAAAGACACACAGACACACAAACACACAGACACAGAGACACACAGACACACAAACACACAGACACAAAGACACACAGACACACAGACACGCAGACACGCAGACACCCAGACACCCAGACACACAGACACACAGACACACAGACACAAAGACACACAGACACACAAACACACAGACACAAAGACACACAGACACACAAACACACAGACACAAAGACACACAGACACACAGACACGCAGACACCCAGACACCCAGACACACAGACACACAGACACACAGACACACAGACACACAGACACTCAGACACCCAGACACACACTCACACACTCACACACTCACACACTCACACACTCACACACTCACACACTCACACACTCACACACTCACACACTCACACACTCACACACTCACACTCACACACCCACACAAACACACACTCACACACACACACACACACTCTCTCTACACTCGCACACCACACATGCACACATCATACACCCTACACCCACGTACGCACTCACAGCAGCACTCACTCATTCGTTCACTCACACACTCATTTACTCCCTCACTCATTTACTCTTCTGCACCTTTGTGTTCTATATGAATGGATGATCTTCACATGTGGGGTTATCCGGTCCTTTAATTATATTAAAATGGGCCCCAAAATCAAGATGTAGAACTTCAAAGGTCTATACTATGGACCTTTGAGGGATGATTGATAGGAGCCACTGGGGGTCTGAGGTCAAAGTGATTGGGTGTAGGTTATCCAACTCCGCTTGAGTCGAAGTTTCCGAGGTTCACATGCTGATTTTGGCTCTGGGGGTCTGAGGTGGAGGTGTTGAAGCTTCGGCTTTGGGGTCGCAGCCAAGGAGAGTGGCAGCACAAGCAGTCAGGATGCGAGTGCCGAGAACGCTCCGCAGCAAGCAGAAGAGGCGCCAGAGAGGTCCATGCTTCCTGGCAGCATGGACACCGAGAGGCTGCACCTTTGGCTCCAGGCAACCCTGACATGATGTTCGTGATGACGATGGTGATGATGGATATGATCATGATGGTGGTGGTGGTGATGAGAAGAGAGTGAGAGCGACCATGAAGATCATGACGAGAACGATGGCAATGTTGTTGGCTGTTAACTCATGCCTTTCTTGATGAGTCTTCTTTTGCGGAACGACCTGTGCGAACCAGGGATGCGCAGAAGGTGGCCAGCCTCTTCCGGGATGACAAAACAACAGCTCCCCGACAGAAAGGAGTCAGTTTATCACGGCGTGATCAAGTGTGGTCTATGTTTGGGTTGATGTATTCCTAGGGTTCAGGTGTTTCCGGCCACGCACTTTGGTCTCCACACGTTCATTGCTTCATCCTTGGTCTCGCAACGCTCACCCTGGTTCAGGTCATGCTCCGCAACATCCCGAATCGCTACACTTGCGAGGAGCTGCTGAGTGAGGTCATTATGGCCGGGTTCGACCGCATGCCTGCCGGCTTTAACATCTGAGCTACTGTGCGGACAGGGAGTGGCTGCCTTCAGAGTACCACAACAGGGAAGTGCGGCGTTGCGGTAGCAGGAAGAAATGGCAGTTTGTGCATGCATGCACCTCAAGTGATTGAAGAACCTCTGGCATGTTTTAGGTTCGATTTCTTCTACCTACCCATGGACTTCAAGACCAAGCGAAACCGTGGATATGGCTTCATCAACTTCCACTCCACATCTGCCGCAAAGCAGCCACCCGGTGTCGGAAGAGCTGGTCAAGCCTAGACTATCAGGCTTTCGGCTTGTACCTGCTCCAAGTGGCTTGGGAATGCTGGGCCCGTTTCCGAAATCCTGAAGCCTACTGTGGCCGGCTACCCTTCCCAGCGAGGTTTGCTCTGGCCTTCCACCATCGTCAGCTGAAGCTCTATGCGTCGAAGAAGATCATGGAAGTCGCTCCGGCAGTGACGCAGGGCTATCAGGCAGGGAAAGTGAGTACATCCATCTGATTGGATCAGAACCACAGGGTCCAAGACGGCCAAAAACCGGTACATGGATGGATGCACAGAGAGATTCAGGTAGGCAGACAGATAGACAGAAATAGATGGTTAGTTAGTGAGTTAGATAGATTGGTTTAGTCTCGATTCTCGCTTGAGCACCAGCCTCGGTGAGGCGAACCTGTCCAAGTACTTCGAGAAAGATTCCGATCGCATCAAGAATGCTCCTGGCTAGCGCTGGTTTTAGGGTGATGCAGTTTTGGGTACTTTTGCCTCAACTGAAAGCTCCTGCCCTGCATGTCAAACCATCCTTTGCAAAATGACCCGTCAGTTTTCATCAGAGGGGCATGCTTGCAGCATTGCCTCGGCTCAGCCTTAAGAGCGTAGCACAATCTGCTGGAAGTCCCCGGTCCGAACCCGCAGAAGCCTCGAGACGTTCTCTTTCGCGACACCGAGGACTGGTTCAGGCCTATGCTCTTCACTCACGAGGCTTTTGAATTAGACTGAGACAAGCCTCCACTTCCAATCGCCTGTTGTTGGATGTACGTGTCGTTAAGAAAATGGCTACGGCATACTGTACTTCGCATTAGCAGCAGAGAGTGCAGGAGAGGTACAGAGGGTCGTCAAAGCAGTGCGCGACAGTAGGCCTGCAAAGGGCCGAATTCGGCTTAAGTGCTTTACCATGCAGGCTGCAGTCGAGCTTTGAGAAACCAGAGAGAGAGCGAGATAGAGATAGAGAGAGAGAGAGAGAGAGAGAGCCATCTAGTATTCGGGAAGCAGGCTGTTATAAGCGTCTCCTTTGAATACAAAGATGCCTGCAGCCATGCATTCTGGAATTCGCAGATTGCTTGCGCTTTTTTGTGCTGTCTCTGAGTTGTCTACAAGGCCAAGTGCTCGTCAAGCTTGTGTTTCGGTCTCAAAGACGGCACAGAAGCTGGCAAGCCATGTGGCATGCTTTTTCGCTGTTGACAACGTGCCAGCGCTTTCATGCTGCGTGCCAGACTCTGCTTCGGGGTTGTACTGCAAGCGGGCGTGCGGGGGAGTTCTCTCCTCGCCCATGGGTGTGCTGAGATTCGATCCAGTCGACACGAAGATGTGACTGCATGAAAGTACTTCCCACAACAGGCTTAAATGTTATGCACATGGCGATTCCTTGTGAATCATCAGAAGATGTCATCGTGCTCGACCATGCGATCAAAGCTCTTGGCTGAGGTTTGCTGGGATACGCCCTGCCATGGCACTGCGGAGTTTCGGCTTGCCATGCTATTATACGTTTTAAGGATATCCTGAGATAAAGGAATCCCAGCGACCTGCCCACCATGCTGCGAAAATTTGAATTGACGGCCGCCATCAGCCAGCTGCCATCCGCCTATTCAGTACGTTTGAGAGATCATGCAGGGATGCAGCTGGGCTTGAGGCTTGCATTTGCTTAGGCTGTCTTCAACAAGGCCTCGCTACGAACAAGTATGGCGCAGGCTAAGATTTTATTGTGAGAGGGCCACGGCTTGCAACGCTGGTCGCGTGCGAAAGATGGGGGTTGTTCTCGGCCCATCTTCTCTGTCAGGGTCGTCACCGAAAGAAGTATTTTCGAGGCAACTAATCTAGAACAACCTCCAGATGTTGTGGACGGTGCCCTGTCTGATCGCTGGAAGAATCATGAAAATGCGAGCTGATGCTTTCTTGAAGCATGACATGTCTTAGACTTATTGAGGCATGTGCTTGCAGCGCAGTCTCAGAAACCACCCACTCAGCAACTGCATTCGGGACAGTCATCGGAGTGATTCAACATGGTGGCAGTCAGCAGCATTTCCAATCATGGTGGTGCACATCATCATCATCATCACCATCATCCCTACAATTGTCATCGGCATGAACATACAGAGATCACCATGCAGCGGCAATCAGGACGCAGCCCAAGAACCAGTCACTTTCGAAGTATGTCCATCGTCCTAATCGTCTGAGAACAGAGCCACTTCCATCATCTTGATCATGATGCTGATCTTGATGTGGAAAGGGAGGTGCGGAGAGCCAGGACATGCCTGTATCAAGTTTAAGCGGAGTCAACACCTGACGAGCCGTACATGGTGCCCGCGGCAAGCGACAACGCCGCAAACCGGATTCTATGGTGCAAGAGACTTGCGCACAGGCATCAACTTCTCGCAAGTCCAAAGAGCGGCAGAACCCTACGAATGGACCCTAAATCCCACATCAGCCGAGTAAATGAAACCTAGACCACGCACTCACCAAACCCCTACGGTACACCCATCTACACCCAAACCCCAAGCCAGGCCCTCCAGCGAAATGTGCAGCGGATGCAGCGCGCCATGCCCAGAGCACACGGCGAGGAGCCCGAAGCTTCTGAGGCTCCGAGGCCCTCAGAAAGCGTGGGGCGGGGGCTTAAGGGGTTTTCGGGTTTGCGGAGCTTGAGGCTAAAATTGAATAATAAAGGTTGTAGGGGCCGGCTTAGGGATCTGAGCTTAGGAGTTAGGAGTTTTGTTTTAATTTGACACAGTGTTTACATGATGAGTAGTGGGATTTCCTTGGCAAGGTCCGTATTAAGTTAGTGGTTGCACGATGTTAGTGTTTTTTTTGGTTTCCGAAGGGGTTGTAAGATTTGGGGCTTGACAGCAGGGCTTCTAGCAGGTTCTGCGGGACGAAGACGAGGGATTCAAGGAAGAATTTGCAGATGTTGATGATCTCTACGGTGAGCCCGGGACTCACAATTTTGAAAGTATAGAAAGGCACGGGTTTCAGAAAACAGGGTACCTTCAAAAACGTGGTCCTCATGTTCTATGGAAGAGTTCCTTGTTTTTCGCAACGGGTCCTTATCAATAAGGATCCGGGTGTGATGGGTTCTAGAAGGGTCGCTTCAAGCTGCCTCTTGGAGGGGCTTTCAAGGTGGAGTTCGGAGGAACTTTGGTATTTTTGGAGAGTTGAGGTAGTTCGGAAGCTCAAACGCAAAAGCCTCATAGCAAAGCTTAGCTCAAGCTTTAATAAACCCTTAACATCCCTAAGCCCTACACCCTCAGCTGCCGCAGCAACGCATCTCTCCGAGCTCGCCCAGAGTTCGCAGGCCAGACTCCTCCGGGTCTCCCAGGAGACACTACCACAAGGTGAAGCTGGAGATCGAGGTCCCTTTCAGTAAAGAGGGGGGGTTTAGGACGTGCTTTAGGAGGCTTAGACTTACATCCAGGATGTTCCCGAAGTCCCCTGGCACTTTGCACGGTTCCGAGGCTGCCGTGGCAAGTCTTGGTCCAGCATGTCCAGCACTTGCTGCGCAAAAGAAATGAGCCTCGTGCAGGTGGTGAAGGCCTCGTCCATCCCAGACGCCACGTACTTCGCGTCGTGGCAGCCTCAATCCGGATCCCCAGGGCAAATTAGGCAGTGTGAGACTTGGGCATCGCCTGGTAAGGCTCAGGGCTGGGGAAATGGACATCTCAAACGCTGGAGCCTGCCAAGGTGCGATCCCTACGTCGTAGTGAGCATCGTCGACGGAGATCCATTGCAGGATCCTCGTGCCCTTTCAGGCTCATGGGCCTGCTTGTAGGATTGGGGGACTCAGTGTTTGAATAGCTGCTTGTGTTTTGTCTTTACTTGTAAGGTTGGGGAAGACGCCTGTCCTTATCGGATGCTATATGCTGACCCGCGGCAATGAAATGCCGAAAGTTCGGCTGCAACTTGTTCAGCGCCTGCAGCCGACCCGAAGCCCGAACATCTGAATGCATGCAGAAGTTTGTCACCGGGATTTCTTGCCTGCCAGTCCCAAGCTTCTTTCTAATCTGTGATCCGTCTGAGAATCCCGAACGGCGGTGCAGGTTATCAGGAATGGCGGGCCCTTCACGAGCAGTGGAGTGGACAGACAAAGGTTATCGAGGCTCTGGAGCAGCAGCATGGCTTTTAGTTTGAAGGGGTGCTGGGAGGGGTGGGTTTAGGGAGGAAGCTTCGGGGTTTCAGGCTGCGGAAGGAACTGTGAGGTCGTGTACCGCGCTTCAGACAACATGGCATGCTGCATCCTGTGGCTAAGACTTGCTTCTCCCAAGTCATGCCGGCCAGGGCACGCGGGATCCGCAATTCCGCGCTCGTTTTCGGGCAGAGGTTCGCAACAGGGCGACTCGGCCAAGATCGGATCTCTGAGTTTCAGTGCCGGCAAGCACCCTGCCAAGCCGGGTTTAAATCAGGAGAAGACCCATATCCACTTCCGGTTGTTGGACCAGGACCAGCACTTTCGAACATCAGTGCCGTGAAGGTTGAAGGGCTGTGCAGGGGGGCCCCGGGCCGTGTGAAGTTGACTTGCTGCAGGACAGCATCTCTCACGCAGATCGGGACATCGGGCAAGTTGCGAAACTCAGGAGATTCGTGTTAGTTCAGGCTTTGCCAAGCGGCTGCCAGACTGGGTTCAACAAGATGGCGGCACCGAGAGGAGGAGCTGCATGCCTGGATGCCTTGTCACCTTCAAACCATCCCAGGCCGCTGTGCCGCTGCGAGACATTCTGGACGACTCTTGGGCGGCTGTCCGCGGGCTTGCGCTTCGGCCGGGTGCCGAGCCACCCCATGCGAGCTTCAAGGCCCCAATCCCCTAAGCTGCCTTAAACATTCAACCAAAACCAGAACCCCCCCCCCCCTCCAAAAAAAAAAAAAAAAAGATGAGGCCCATGGACCGGAAGAACTCGCAAGCCTGGGCTGCCATCCACAAGACGCGGCTCCATGTCCTCGCCTCATAGGTGTGTTGGACCGCTGCTTTGTCGTGCAAGCTCAGACGGGTCTGGAGGATGCGTATATGAATTATGGCTCGTATCAGTATCTCTTCACAACGTTGTGCCAAGATGTGGCAGGAATATGTGAGAGCCTCAAGCTGGCTACATGTTTAGGAGAAGCTAGATCTACATTATCTACATCTCTCTTGAAGTTCTTCGTGTGCCGAGAGGGGACCGTCGCCGGCCACCTGGGCTCTCATGAGATCTTTCGTTGGCCTGACGGCCCCATCCCCTATGCATGAAGCCCCGAACTACAAATTCTGGCAACACAAGCTTTCTTGCTCCCTAAGAGCTTCAGGTAGCCATCAACTTCGAAGGGATCCTCGGGAAGGTGAAGACGGAAGATGCCATGCAGCGCTTGGGCCTCAGGTCGCTCAAATGGTACCGGTAGACATGTAACATATTGCATGTGCGCAGTGTGACGTACATCTGTGCATAAGAAAGCACCCACACTTACATACCGTTATAGTCTACTGGCCATGTGTACGCACATGTATATATGTATCATCTGTCTGTGTATCTATGTGTGCATGTATTTGCAACTACGCCTACACAATGCAGCATATATTGATTAGATAGGGTAGAACAACATTTACACTCATACTCGTCTCCCATTCTGCTGTAGTGTTCTTCAGGTGCTGTGGCAGTGGCATCCACCTTTACAAAATCTGGTAGAGCTGGGCGGAGCCCCAGGCGGCAGAGGGAAGGAGGAGGCGCGGGGGCCTGTCTCACGGTATATGTTCGCTCGCACGAGAAAGTTGGGATCGTTTAGGGCACCGAGCCGCAAGACATCCTACGACCTAGCGGCCAGGTTTGCTGGACATGTTTGGCACGGACACCTAGCCTCACCTGCGGCGCACTGCTGGCCTGGCTGCCTGTGTCGCATCATCAGGCAGGCTGGTTTGTGGGCAAGAGACTTAGACTTTGTCGCCCCGGGAGTTCACGGTTCGAGCGAAAGCACATTTTCGTTTGTTCGGGATGAGGTGCTGTTCAGATAAATCCCCAGATGTGTCTTGCTGTGTTGTTCATCTATCGGTCTTGTATATATGTATGAGTATAAATACACGGTCTGCATAGGTGTGTCGCACACATTCGGGTATACTCTTATGTGTATATGTATATCGACGTTTATAATACCCATGTACATATACACAAAGATAGCATACACATGTATTCACACATGTTTGCTCATCAACAGTCACTGAGCAGGAGCCATGATGCTTCGCAGGTTCAGGTTATTGAGTCCTTGGAGACGGTGGAGGTTCAGCGCCGGCCTGAGCAAGTGCTTCGAAACGGCTTCGGGAAAGCTATTTTTCGAGTTTGGATTTTGCGGACAGATTGGATCTGTCTGGATGCTTCGAAGAACATGAAGCTACGTAGTGAAGCTACGTAGCTTTTGCAAAAAAGATGGCAGATGAAGGCAGAGGAAGTTCATGGCATTTCGATCTTGACCCAATCAAAACATGCTCCTTCACCCACTCACTCATTCTTTGACTTGAGCTCTTGAGCTGGCTTTGAACAGTCAGTCCATGATGTAGCAATCTGAGGAGACGACAGATCCCAAAGAACATGTCAGCTGCGACAAAAGCTCTAGCGAAGAGAGAGAGAGAGAGAGAGAGAGAGAGAGAGAGAGAGAGAGAGAGAGAGAGAGAGAGAGAGAGAGAGAGAGAGAGAGAGAGAGAGAGAGAGAGAAGAGAGAGCCGTAGCCTTCGGTCTGGCCAATTCGCTCCTTGCGATGTCGATCTCTGTCGATGTGCATATGCTGAGTGGCAAATGTGTTTCTTTTGAAGTGGAGATGGATGCTTCCGTTGACTCATTGAAGCGACGTGCCAGAGTGCGCTGCTCACGGGGAGAGGGAGGCTGCTGAAATCTTCTGGCGAGACCCTTGACGGGGCACAAACTATCAAACAAGCGGAGCTGAAGAGTGGAGATGTGCTCACCCTACATGTCAACAGAGTCCAGCTTCAAGCCAACTACCGCGCCTTCGCTGCACTCCTGGGCGATGGATCTGTGGTCACCTGGGGTGATGCTACCTGTGGAGGAGACAGCACTGCCGTACAGGCGCAACTGAAGAATGTGCAGCAGATTCAAGCTGCGCATGAAGCATTTGCTGCAATCCTGAGTGATGGATCTGTGGTCAGCTGGGGTGATGCTACCTGTGGAGGAGACAGCAGTGCCGTACAGGAGCAGCTGAAGAATGTGCAGCAGATTCAAGCTTCGGGTGGAGCATTTGCTGCAATCTTGAGTGATGGATCTGTGGTCACCTGGGGTGATGCTACCTGTGGAGGGGACAGCAGTGCCGTACAGGCGCAACTGAAGAATGTGCAGCAGATTCAAGCTGCGCATGAAGCATTTGCTGTAATCCTGAGTGATGGATCTGTGGTCAGCTGGGGTGATGCTACCTGTGGAGGAGACAGCAGTGCCGTACAGGAGCAGCTGAAGAATGTGCAGCAGATTCAAGCTTCGGGTGGAGCATTTGCTGCAATCCTGAGTGATGGATCTGTGGTCACCTGCGGTGATGCTACCTGTGGAGGAGACAGCAGTGCCGTACAGGCGCAGCTGAAGAATGTGCAGCAGATTCAAGCTTCGGATGGAGCATTTGCTGCAATCCTGAGTGATGGATCTGTGGTCACCTGGAGTGATGCCACCTGTGGAGGAGACAGCAGTGCCGTACAGGCGCAACTGAAGAATGTGCAGCAGATTCAAGCTGCGCATGAAGCCTTTGCTGCAATCCTGAGTGATGGATCTGTGGTCACCTGGGGTGATGCTACCTGTGGAGGAGACAGCAGTGTCGTACACGCGCAGCTGAAGAATGTGCAGCAGATTCAAGCTTCGGGTGGAGCATTTGCTGCAATCCTGAGTGATGGATCTGTGGTCACCTGGGGTGATGCTACCTGTGGAGGAGACAGCAGTGCGGTACAGGCGCAACTGAAGAATGTGCAGCAGATTCAAGCTTCGGGTGGAGCATTTGCTGCAATCTTGAGTGATGGATCTGTGGTCACCTGGGGTGATGCTGCCTGTGGAGGAGACAGCAGTGCCGTACAGGCGCAACTGAAGAATGTGCAGCAGATTCAAGCTGCGCATGAAGCATTTGCTGTAATCCTGAGTGATGGATCTGTGGTCACCTGGGGTGATGCTACCTGTGGAGGAGACAGCAGTGCCGTACAGGAGCAGCTGAAGAATGTGCAGCAGATTCAAGCTTCGGGTGGAGCATTTGCTGCAATCCTGAGTGATGGATCTGTGGTCACCTGCGGTGATGCTACCTGTGGAGGAGACAGCAGTGCGGTACAGGCGCAGCTGAAGAATGTGCAGCAGATTCAAGCTTCGGATGGAGCATTTGCTGCAATCCTGAGTGATGGATCTGTGGTCACCTGGGGTGATGCCACCTGTGGAGGAGACAGCAGTGCCGTACAGGCGCAACTGAAGAATGTGCAGCAGATTCAAGCTGCGCATCAAGCTTTTGCTGCAATCCTGCGTGATGGATCTGTGGTCACCTGGGGTGATGCTACCTGTGGAGGAGACAGCAGTGCCGTGCACGCGCAGCTGAAGAATGTGCAGCAGATTCAAGCTTCGGGTGGAGCATTTGCTGCAATCCTGAGTGATGGATCTGTGGTCACCTGGGGTGATGCCACCTGTGGAGGAGACAGCAGTGCGGTACAGGCGCAACTGAAGAATGTGCTGCAGATTCAAGCTTCGGGTGGAGCATTTGCTGCAATCCTGAGTGATGGATCTGTGGTCACCTGGGGCAATGCCCACTGCGGTGGAGACAGCAGTGCCGTACAGGAGCAGCTGAAGAATGTGCAGCAGATTCAACCTGCGGGTGGAGCATTTGCTGCAATCGGGAGTGATGGAATTGTGGTCTGCTGTGGTAGTCCCCTCTCGGGTGGCGACAATTGGTCAGTGCAGCATAAATGTGTCCTGTGAAGAGCAACTCGTCATCTCCATGGATAAAAAGAATTGTTGCAGGTTTCGGTTCTATTCATGTTCGTTTGCCATCGCATAACTCAACCTCTCCACGAGTCTTGCTCCGTTCTGAATTTCGGATCGCACCTCCGGTCTCGAAGTCTCATTGGCATCTCATTCTGGTTTCATGTCTCATGCATTGGAGTCCCCACCATCCTCACATTAGAAGGCACGGACGAAGACAACAACAGGCTACATGTAAATCAGTGCCTATCAATGTCAATGTCAATGTGTGTCTCCAAAACCTGAACCCGTAGGCCGGCATGCGGCGTTGGCTCCGCCGCCGCATTCAGGCGCTGCCTTTATGGATGACACATATTTGTGGAGAGAGTCCCCAGAATATGTCCAGCAAGTTCTCCACGAACTAGAGAAACGACTCCTCTGCATTGGACTTAAAATTAACGCCAAGAAGACTCAGGTCATTTTCAATAGGCCCAGTGACCCCTTTCGGTTTAGGATTGGGGGTGTTGAGGTTGCACCCGAAGGCCCAGAGGCGATCATGACGATCCTAGGTGCGCCTATCACCATGAACGGGGACCTCGCTCCCATAGTTGCCGAGATGCAAGGCCGATCCCGACGCGCAGGGCAGTTGACCGACTGTTTCCGGAGTTCCCGTTTGCGAAGACTAGAGGACTAGAAGCACTGCTGGCGACATGGACAGGCTCTGAATTTTTGTTTGTTTCTCCGCAGGCCAAGCACGATAGGGCACCCTTGACGGGTTCCCCTACAGCCTCGCCACTAACTGTGACCTCAAACTGGTGCAGTGCGGAAGGTGCCGTCAGGAAAAAGTTCTGCGGACAGAGCCATTGAATTTCAAAGCCAACTCGCAGCAAACCCTGATGCCAGGGTGCCCAGCCGGACAAGCGAGACCAATGCGCAGCCCTCGGGCATGCTGAGAGGTCCAGGGTCTCGGCTTTGAGGCAAAGGGTTGCAGTTTGGGTCGGTGCTTGGTTTAAAGGCGCCTACTGAATGTACTGAGTCTACTGTAAGGGCCCAGAAGAACGGAATGGAGTTATAGCACTAGCAATAGTTTCTCTGTTGTGGCGAAGAAGTCTGCCATCGTGATCCATCGTGAAGAGCGGCCACAGGAACAAGAGCTGGTATAATTCGTGGTGTGGAGGGTACGGCGAGTGATCAACTTGCGCCTCCGATTGCAGCACGAAGAACAGCAACCTGTCAAGATCCTGCAGTACTTGTGCCGATCAGGCTTATGACTGTGTGATCATGCATTGAACACTGTAGTACAGATGGTGGACAGACCATGGCCACTGTGCTTGGTAGCACAATGACTCATGCCGATTCAGGTGCAGGAAAGAGTTGCAGACAGCTCAACACTCTGCTGGCATGAACTGAGTATCTCCAAGTAATTACTGTTCACTGCCGGGTCATGTCAGGCCTCGGCAGCGAGACTCTAAACTGCATGCTCCTCCTCCACTGTAAGTATGGAGCACATCCTAAGTATACATTATACGCCTTTACTTCCGTCATGTTCTGAGGCCAATGCGCGCTGACTGTCTACTCGCCGTTGCGGCTGCCTAGGCAACGATTCGAAAAACCAGGCGTTGCACTGGGGATCTTGCGTGATTTCAGATCGCAGCTGTACCGGATTGAGTAGATGAGGCTTTTCACGGGTGAAGCAACCAAAGGAACATACCGGGAGCACACGCCCCTGCTGCAGGTGCAGAGCGCTCGAGGAGCGAGGAGAGCGACTGGACCTGCAGGCAATGCATGTCTGACATCATCAACAACTCAGAGGGGTCTAGCAGTCAGAACATCCCTGTCACGCGCCAAGCTTTCGCGACCCGACCCCAACTGTGCGAGCCCTCACCTTCAGATCATGGCGTACATCAACTGACGGGATCACCGTAAGCGTCGTCCATCTTCACAGCCTGAGAATGCCAAGACCTACATGCGCACGCGCGTGCGCAGGCACACACACACACACAAACACACTCAGACACACTCCCTGATTAGTCAGTATGGTCTGCAACAGAGACAGCAACTGGGAGGATGCGCGTGTGGAGATACAGTTGTGGCGCAATGCGACAGCTTGTGCTGGAGCCTTGCTTAAAGTCGAACAGCCCAAGCTCCCGACCCGTCTGATCGGAACAGGCAAGAAGGGCTCCTCTGACCACCGCCACCAAAAAAAGAGCTTCGCTGTTCTCACGGCCAACTCTCCAGAAGATGGAAAGCGGGATTCGGTTTCAGTCGAGGGCCTGCAACTTCCGGCGCTGGTGCCCTCTGTTCTCGGGATTCGGAGCACGATCGTGTCGAAGGAAATCGAAAAGACACTCTTCGAGTTCGAACTGTTTGAGTCGCAGGTCTTACCGACTTCCGAGAGAAGTGCGATCCCGGCAATTCTGAGCGTGCGCAGTCTGAACCTCAGCCTTAGATTGGGATACAAAAAAGGGGTACCCTATTTCAGGGACCATGTGGTCCAGTGGTTCCTGGCAGCATTGGAACTGTCTGAGGCGCCACCAGCTGCAGAGCCTGAAGCCGGAAGTGGTGTTCGCACAGCGAGTTTCACGGCGTAGGGCATAGGGTGTTTGAACTGAACCATGTAAACAAAGTGTGCATTCTCCGGGATGCGAGCGATAGGACAATGTTCTGATGTGTTGCCTTTCCAGCGCACATGCCTACTCTTAGCTTACGTTGCAGCCAGGCTCAAAATGAGCTCCACAGCAGGAAGCGAAAAAGCCTTGTCCAAGTTTGCGTAGTGCCGTAGTTGCCGTAGTCCCGACAGTTTGGTGACCCGAAGAGCAGGAAAAGTGAGAAGCATGAGAAGGAAAGACACGGCAATCTAATTACCACTAATAGCTTTGCTTATTCCTCCTCATTGCCATCTGCCGGTACTGTATCATCAGGTTTGTCATTGGAGACGGATGAATCGTCGACGTCGCTGTACTAGTACTGCTACCACCACCTCTCCGATAATCGATAATCGTAATTGTAGTACAGTAATGCACGCAAGCAGAAAAGCAGAGGAGATAGAACCGGATCCAAGAAGAATGCTAAAGGAAGTAGGCACCGCAGGCACCCTGTTGCCTGTGAAGAGGTCGTGAAAGAGACCATCCTCACTGAGACCTTCTCCTTAGAGGGACCCAGCTCTTCGAAGGACCGAGCTGGGGGCAAAAGTTTCTGAGCTCTGGTTTTGAAGAGTGGGTTTCGATTGATTGTATTTGTCTTACGTTGCCTTTCTTGGCAGAGGGGGAGGGTGCGAATCCTGCTGCGTGGGAGTCTCAGTTTAGGGTTATCCAGGGGTCCCTTGTCCTCTCGAATGTTTCAAGTGTGCAAAGTTTCCCAACACAAAGGAATTTGAAGCTGGGGCCCCGTAAACCTTAGCAATCCGGAGACTTGAACCTCAATGCCTGAATGGCCTTGTACCTCAAACCCGATCCCGGACCTTGAGCTTGAGACCCGTAAGCCCCGATCCTATAAATCCTAAAAGTCCGAGAGTCAAAACCTGAACCAAAGCCTTTAAATCCCAAGACCCCAGGCCCCAGCTCTTGTTGAGGCTTCGCTCTTCTTATTATAAGTGCTTCAATAAGGGTACTGTAAGGGTCTAGATAGACTGTATACTTTGGCCCTAAAGTTTCAGCGTCCCCGAGCTGACGAAGCTTCGGAGGACCCGCGGAGGTTGCGGCCGGGGGAACTCGTCGAGGTCGGGTCACACAGGATTTGCGCGTCCAACGTGGGATACGAAGGGGAATCTGGTAGCCTAGGAGCCTCACAAAGTAGAACTTTGGGGCCTAAACCTTAAAGGGGTGATTCAGACTGTTGTCGCTTCAGGAGCTTCGATAGGTAGGTTTGCAGGATTTAGGTTCTGGATCTAGGATGTCGGTTTCACGCTTGGGCTTTTAAGGTTGCAGGTATATGGTTGAGCGTCTTTAAACTTTTTTCGGTTGGGTGTTCAAGGATGTAGTCTTTTGGGTGTCAGGTGGGCTGGGGCTGTTCGGGCTCTTCAGTATCCTTCATGAAACAACAACCGTCATGACCGTGATGGGCGTACTGTTGCGAGAGCAACGCGGGCGCCGCCAGCGTTGCTTCTCTTAGTATTGCTGGCAGAGACGTTCCGATAGTCACTCCAAGCCAATAAAATATGCTTTCGATGATGCAGGTATTTGTTATACCATGTTGACGCTGAAGCCCGCAGCTACTTATGGTTGGGATGATCAGATTCTTGCGAAATTGCTGTATCCATGAGGACAAAAGGTCTTGAGTTATAGGGCCGGCGATTAATTATGAATCTATTGCAGTTCCTGGTAGTCTTCCTTGAAGCGTGTGGCTCAAATCCATCTTCGTTGTTGACCTCACCGTCTTCGGTGTTATTAAGATCTTGCGAACTGAAGTAGCATATGTGAAGAGCATCTTATGTTGCTAGGTGTACGTATGATGACGGCAATATGTCTCACTGCGGTCGATACTGTGCACAAGTCTGGGTTGGCGCCGTTTCAGCCCAGAGTCTGATGTACGGTTGCATGACCATGAACACTCCATCGTATCTATGAGCCTTGATGCTGACATTCACGTGCGCACAGGCCTGCAATCGTCCTGAGACGCGGGTGTTGAGAAATAGAGTCCCTGCAGTCGAACTCTCATTTCCAATGGAACCTTGAAGTCCAAAACGTTAAACCCCTCGCAGGTCAGGACGTGGATGACCAAGGATGAGAAGTCCGGCCTCATGAGGACTGCCTGTAGGACCTTCAGACATGCAGGCTGGTATGGATTTGGTGACTTGGGGGGTTGAAAGTGTGCTGGCCAAGGCTGTGGGTGCCAGCAATAACATGTTCATACAAAATGAAAAGTACAACTACTTACTGATTGCTGTACATTACAAGGTTATCATTAGCAAAACGAGCTACTTCTGCTGAGCAATGTCAGTGCAAAGGCAATGGTGAGCATGAGAACTGCAACAGTCTCAACCGTAAAAACCATAGGAGCTGTAGTCTGGCAATGGTTGACTATGAACTAAACCCTAAACCCTAAACCTTGCACTGATGCGGCCCGCCAGGATGAAGTGCAAGGCTGTCAGCGACGGCGCGGTTGGCGCGCTTCTGAGCAGAGGCAACCTTCAGAGTTCGGAGCAGGACGTAAGGGTCTGGCTGGACCAGCTCACGAGCTCGTTCACAGAAGCAGCAGGTGTTCGCTTTTGGGCCAATGCCTGAATACCACAAGTTCGGGTATAGTGCAGGCTCGCAGCAGTAAACATGTTGGAGACGAGCATCTGTTTTAGTTAACTTGTACGCATATCTTCAGCACGGCGCATCATTTGCTTCGGCTCGAGTTCCGTTTCATTGCCCCTTGGGCCCCTGCTGAGAGCCAAAGTTGCTGATTCCTTAGAAGATGTCTGCACACAACTACTGGCCATCAAGGCCTACACAAAGCTTCAAGCAAACGCACTGTCTGACTGCGCTGTTCTTCTCGTCATTTCTACACTACTAGCAGCAGGGGAGCATGCTCCGCGCAGCTCTTTTCCTGGCCTGCGCCATCCATGGCAGCGGCCACAAGCTCGCGGTGATCCCGGGCAAGAATGAAGCAGATCCGAGCAAGCTCAGGTGACGTCGCCGTCATTTCTTATGTAATGGTATTTCAGTGGTTCAGGTTGCACGACGTTGTCGGTCATGTTATATTGACTATCGCCCTATCCTGCAGTCGGATGTTGCCCTCTGTTGCACACATACAGGCTCCATTCGGACTCGTCCCGCTACCCACGGCTTTGCAGCCCGCCTTATGCTGCAGTTCCGACATGGGGCTGGCCCTTAAAGGGCCTTACCTTTCTGCACAACATGGAATCTGCGTTAGTTTTATAGTTCTGTTGGAAATGCGCAGCGACTAAGCGCAGTTTCTATAGTCGCTCCTCATGCTCCTGCCACCGCCACCCGCGCCGATGCTGCTGATGCCTTAGTTCTATGATGCCGCCGCCACAGACGACGACGAGGGTCCATATCGACAAGATCCGGCACATGGCACATGCACCCACACACGATGCCTCATGCGAGATAGCGTCACCACCTGCTTGACCAGCACAACCCGTAACATCGCCACCACAACAACCACTGCCGCGCCCGCCAGCTATGCAAGATGTATATCGGACTTGGCAATCGTACCATTGCTGCTGTTACAGTGGTAAGAACAGACCTCATGGAAAGTCTAGGGCCGCCGCAGGCCAGCTCGATCTTCCACAGACTTTGGCCAGGCTCGCGGATGAGCTGTGCTTCAGAATTTGGGGTTCGGGGTGTATACAACCGTGCACTGGAGAATATGATACACGAGGTCTGGAGGAGGGCATTGATAAATGTTTTGTTCACTTCAACTTCCGTATGGAGTAGGGTCCAGAATAACATGCTGTGTCCATAGGAATATTGAGGGGCTGTGAGTGTGGGGATACTTGCCAGACATGCCTAATTTCATGCGTGGTGGTAAGGGCCGTTCGCGAGCCCTGCAGGCACAATTCGTGCAGCTGGCAGCCCATATCATAGCGCGCCAAGACCAAGGCTGGTCGCCCCACTACAACGTGAGCAGAATCAGTGGTGTTCTTCTCCGTGTTACCCTTTGTGATGACCGTTTGCTGGCTGCAGGAGACCCTCTCCTAGAAAACTTCCAGAGTCTCTTGAAGCGGCTGACCGCCGAAGTCGATGCCATTAAGCCTCCAGCTCAGGAGTTCTCTCTTGTCCAATGTGAAGCTTTGAGGCTTCAGAATTGAAGGTCGAAGTTGCAGGCTTTTGACTGCTCACGGTAAAGAGATTAGGGCGATTAGGCTTTAGGGCAATTTGGCAAGTAGCAGGACAATCGACAGACAAGCCCGGCTGTGCAAGTACTGCACCCCGTCCAGCCCTAGAGTCAACGCCAGGAGACAACAACAGCCGTGCCAGTGCTTGTCTCGCAGCCAGCCGCGCCAGTGCCTGTCCCGGAGCAGCCTTCCAGAAAGATTCCGAAGAAGCTGCTCTTTAATCACAAGGCTGGGGTGCATGTGATATTATCTGCTGCACAGGCTCTCCTACCTGTTACCAAGCCCCCCCCGGCACTGTCTCTTCCGAACATTGCCCCGAGCATTCTGAGGGCCCTTCCCTTGCAGGTCAACCTGTTGAAAATACCGGACGCCCAGATGAATTCGTCGCTCGGCCCGGACCACCGAAATCCTTTCAAACGAGGATCGTGCGATGGTGCCAGGACCAATAGGCTTGCACAGTCAAACCCGTTGCACCCATAATGAACATCAGTAGACATGATGAGAAAGCAAAGGCAGACAGCCATGAGAGTGCGAACAAAAACAGCTGACAACAAGACAGGCGCCAGTAACGACAACAGTCAAATGATCGGATTGACCCAAGTCGTAGCCATCGTGATGGCCATGGCAACAACAACAGCAGACCGGTAGTCTCGGCCACTCCTAACTCTTGCCTGCTCGCGGGTATGCATAGGCAGTGTCTTGGCTTCTGTCGTGTAGCGTGGTGGATGGTATATTGGCTTGAGTATGCTGGTCTTAGTGTACTGCTTAAACACAGGTTTACCGTGCTACACAGTGCAGCATTGGTACTGACTGAGGGATTTAACAAGACAGCCTCCATGTCGGCTGGTGGCTATTGTGGCAGTCTGTCTGTCTCTGTCAGTGGGCGTATGGATAACAAAGAGACGTAGATTCTGCCGACTGCCCTGCAACGACAGCCCTGCGAGTGCATAGACAAATATGAGCGAATCGCTAGTGCACAAATTTATTCCTGCACCAGGTTTTCGAGCCAACTCTGCAACTTCGAACCTTGAGCTGCTGTGTTCAAAGTCTTCCTCAGCAGAACCCACCACGCTGTAGAACTTCAGAGCCGCGGCCCAGGGCGGACAAGTTGCTGCGCGAGAATATCCTCCATATCATGAGCATCTTCCCTGAGGCAGAAAAGGGGGGTGGTCAGAGTAGAGAGGGGAGGCTCCAAAGCTGTCGCTGAACAATGAAGCGCGTGAATCTTCGGAGTCAGAGTATGAACGTGCAAGTGCGCGGTGGGTGTGCGACAAATGAATGCCTGATTACAGAAGTGCGTGCTTAGGACTGTGAATAGGTTGTTATGCCGGTCTGCTTGCCTGTTGCATGTACTGTACATCTGTGTCAGTTTTAAGAGGCATCTAGAGATGTATGTGTGCACAACTATGTTGGATACATGTCTTAGAGTCTCGGCGCACTGACCAAGACATCGAGCTACGCCGACTCTGATCTGCCGACATCTTGTTCGAACATGGTGTTAGCCTAGCTACACCGACGAGAAGCCAGTTGTCGACAAACCCGTCCTGGGCAGGAAGGTGTGAGTTTCAGGGTTTTCGAGGTGTTCGAGGCCAGCTTTCGGTGCTGACTTTCGGGGCAATGGCCAGGGTAGTTTTTGATCTGGGCCCACCCCCCCCCCCCCCCGAAACCGACAGAGTAGCGCCCCGAAGCTGATCTAAACCGTGCCGAGGCTGGGCCCCAAAACTGCTTCCGGATCCGAAACTCCCAGCCAGCCGATCCGAAGCTGGAACCCCGAAACTATGGGTACCCGTCCTGGGCATTGCACACGGCATTTGCATAGATTCCCAAACCTCCAAACCCTCAAGAGTCAGAGAGAAAGCCTGGTCGTATGCATAGCCTTAAGCCTCGTGCTGCTGTTGTGATAAGTGCAACTCGTAGTCGTAGCAAATCCAACGTTACGGCTGCCAGGTTTCTCAAGAGGATGTTCATTTCTGGAATGACGACGATTGTCAGAATGGTCTGGAGGCCCTGAATATCCAGGACCCGTCTTTGTGCAAGCATTTTGGGGGCAGTCGTCGCAAATAGGCTCTGTTCGTGAGGGGGTTTGTCTCCTTCAGATAAAATGACAGCTCCCAAGGGCCCCTTTCGAGACTTCTGAGAACTCGACACCCGTTCAAAGGCAACATCTGCATTTTCTATTATGAAGTTTGTCCTCCGTCTCCCTCCCAAAGAAGCTAGTGGTTGAGTTGCTGTGTTATCTACCTGCATTCGGTGACTGGCTTGAGGCTGTCCTTGGAGAGGGTTTGTTTCCGAGGAGCGATCGGCTCAATCATATATAAATCCTTTTTTGGTCGGTGTTTAGCCTTCAGACTTTGGTCCTAGCAGGTGGTAGACTGGGGACTTCGGAGGGTCAAAGCTCGATTACGTCTTGAGAGCGTCATCTTTTCCGGCCGAGCCTCTCTTTGCCCTGACTTCCTCTCGACTTCTTTTGGGCTTCTCGAGCCACTCCTTGAGCCTCTACCGAGCCAGTATGTGCGGTGACTCCCCAGCTTCGAGGCAGCTCTGAACTTGCGAGCCACTCGAGTAGCTCCCGAGCTCCCTGCATGGCCGAACCCCTGAACATCCCCTTGATTTCAGGAGCTTCGGGTTCCTCCGCCAGAGAGGTCTGCCTCAGGTCTAAGCCCTGAAATCAGAAGCCATAGCACCCCGAAGCTCTCAACCACTGCTTTAGAAAGAATGAGAGCTTGAAATTACACAGTAAATTCCTAAACCCCGAAATCCCTAGCCCTAAACCCCGGAATCCCTAGACTCTAGACCCCTACATCCCTGAATCCCTTAACCCCGGAATCACGAAGCCCTAAATCCCTAAACCCTCAAATGCCTAAGTACCGAAATCCCTAGCCCCCCAAACTCCATGGTCGCCTCTTTGACCAAAGCCTGGGTTTTCTCGCGAAGGAGAGCGAAGCTTTGAGCATCGATTTCGTGTCGGAGCAGGCTTGGATTTTCAAAGAGCCTAGATTCAAACACGTCCGACGGCTTCTGCCTTCTACCACTTTGTACAGGGCGTTTGAGATTTGGACTCGCTTGTGGGATTTAGTGAAATCACATGTCAGGGCTTTGCAGGCTGCAAGTGTTGTTGATGCTGATGTTGCTCGTGCAGGTGTGTTGTGTTGCTGAACTTGTGGACCTACTCCCCTAAGCATTGCGAGGGGTCTTCTTCTTTTTCGTGGAGGTGGTGGTTGTTAGTGCTGGTGCAGGTATTGGTGAGGGTGCTGCGGGTCGGAGGGGGTTGTGGTGGGAACGCTGTGCCTGCTGAGTTGGTGATGGTGGTGGCGACTGCGCTGATTAATAATGATGCGAACGATGCGTGATGATGATGACCATCATCATCACCATCATCATGCAGTGTTGATTTTCAGCACGATGGTGATGTCATGGTGGCGATGGACGATGATGATGCGGATGAGCATGTTGCAGAAAGTGGGGCAGGTTTCTCATCCCAAGAATCGGTGTGATTTACGTTGGTCTGGGTTCAGCTTCTTGTACCCCCCAAAAGTCTGGGAGTGGAGGTTGGAATGGTCAAGTCGGACATCTGCCGCCTTGCCATGATGTACACCCTTGGTGGCTACTACTTCGATACCGACATTCTGGTCACCCCAGAACTGAAGGCCGGCAAGACATAGAACAAGCTGCTTGTGCTTAGGAAAAGTTGATCTTGGGATGCTTGGGGTTCTCGCATCGCGCTAAGAGCTGGAGGACTAGATAGGCAAGAGTGTGCAGTGGCGAGGGCCTTCACACCTTTTGGGTGATCGATCATAACTGAAGTGGAAGTCACACAGTACTAGGATGCACTGTCAGAAGTGGTAGCCGGAATCAGCCACATGAAAATCGTAGTGGGGATCAGTGTAAGACGCTGTTGGAATACATGCGTTAGTTTAGTACCAGAAAATATCATTGTGATGATGGGTAAGAGCACTGACTACTCTCTCAGCCGAGAGCAAAATTCGTAATCAGCAATCTACTCGCAGCATCAGGAACAACGACCAAGTAACAAGCAAAGACATGCCATCAACCATCTGTGATGCGGACAGGCTCAAATAGCTCCAGAGACCACCTTTGCGACAGTCCGGGCGGCTGGAAGTCTCAGTGCAACCTTTTTCCAAGCGCCGCTTGGATGCAGCTGCATGCTGCAGGTGCTGAGGGCCTATGGACAGAGAAGAAAGTTTTCAGTTGTCCCTGTTGGCATCAGCTTGTACACCCGGAGAACAGTTGCAGGGGACGAGCCATACCAACCTGAGGCTCTCTTCGTTAGAAGAGGGACAGTGGTTCACGGTGTGCGGAAGTCTCCGGAATGTGTGACGTGCCTCAGGTTTCTAGGTGCCTCGCAGAAGCATCCTCTGATCGAGCTGGCCCTGAAGGACCTTGGGATTCACCCTTCGAAGCTCCTTGAGCTCCCCCAGCTTTGGAGGAGTTTAAAGCCTGGTACGACAAACTGCGCGCCCCTGGCGTCAACCAGGTGCCCCGATCTGCACAGGGAAGAGGGAGTAGCGAGTAGTACTAGGTCCACTGGGTGCAGGTAGAGGAGTGAGCAGCTTTGGATCATGCTTGTAACGGATGTTGCTCTCAGAGCCTTGCATAGAAACCCGGCCCCTTTCCCGTCTCCCATGTCGCCGATGACTGACCGAACTTCTGTGAACACATGCGGAAAAAAGAGCCTCTGCGAATGCATGCGGAGCACCAAACATAGGCGACAAGAATACAATGATCTCGCGTCCCTTCGGGTTCCATCAACCGTCTGCGAGCAGATTGTAAGATTTCCATATATTTCCATTCATCGTCGGATTGGTTGTTGGCATGTTCCCTCAAAGAAATCGAATTCCTATCAGCCAGTATTGCGCTCGCAATCAACCATACAAACCTCAACATCGCACTGAGGCTCAGCTGCGCGTGAGCACTGCGAATGGCAACATTGGAACTGCGCTTCTCAGACAGGCCTGATACGGACTGAGGGAACAGTCCACCGACGTTGCGACCACTGGGCCGCATAAGCTGGCTCTGCGACCAGCAGGGAGCCACATTGCGAAACCCGAGGTAGAACACCCACTCTTGAGTATTCTTCGGCGGAAGATACTTTGCAACGCTTTCGGCACGTAGAAGCGAGATCGCCACTAAACCACCGTAGGACAAAGGCATGCCAATGATTCGAGCCTCGTGATTGGGACAGCCTGTTCCGATCCTAGTGCTGACATGGGGGCAGTGATACGTTGCATCACAATTTGCCGACCTTGCAGCTGGAAAGGCCTACGACAAGTGGAGTCAGAATGGACCAACGCCCAAAGTATCCCATCCGGGAGGACTCTTCGCTTCGCAGCTTGAACTATGTAGCTGAACCAGCTCGTTCCAGTTTACAGAATCTAATCACAGTTGCGGGCGCACGATGGGAACGAAGTTTCGGCACCAGCCTCCGCCTTCTGACAGGACACGTCTCGCAGTTTTTCGAGGAGACCCCGATAAACTGGTTACCGAGGGCTCAGTACCCAGGTCTTCTGCCCGGCCATTCTGGCTTCATCTGTTCCTTGGCTTGATGTTGGAGCTTGCACTTGAAGCACTGCTTCAGACTTCACGGTTGAAATTAATCCGGCAGCATCAGTCGAACTCAAGATGTAGAATTGGCTTCGACGCCTATTTTGTGACAAGGATGCATCACAGACGAACGCATGGGCTAGACATGTGGAACATTAGGTGACTACGCGGTCGTGAATAAGCCCACCAGCAAAGTGGTCTTGTACTCGCGGGTTTACGATTCTCACCATCACCAAGAGTGCTCGGAAGAGGCACGGGGCACACGGCATCATTCGCGAACCTGCATGGATTCAAGGTGTGTGCGTTGCTGTGCGCCTCAATCGTAATCTCTTGTCCCCTAAGCCTTCAGACCCAAACCCTTATCTGACCCTGCAGGTGAAACTGATGCGAAGCATGGGAAGATGATGGCCCGTTAGGCTTGCTTGAGCTCAGAGGCCTTGGCCTAGAAGAGCTTGTGCAAGAGAGCCGCGCAAGCAAGAAAATATGGTTGCCGCTGTACCACAATACCGATCCTTATCAGATGAGAGAACAGCAAGACAGGGTGCTTGCCTGAGAGCAGAGCAGATTAGGCTGGGCCACTGTGGTGGGCAATGCCGGAACTGTGTTCCTGGAGGTCCGGAGCCACGGTTTGGGGATTTCTGGTTCATCGGGGCTTGGGCCGTAGCAACCTTCTTCCTTTCGTGGTGATTCGCGTGTTGAAACTACAAGACTTCCTTCTTTGCCTTTGATTGTGCGACTCTACGTCTGATTTGCCGCGGTGATCCGGTGGCCCTTTTCGCCTCTGAGCTCGAGAGCGGCACCTCCATTGGCCACTAGTCACTACTGAACTTCGGGCAGCCTAGCGTAGACCCGATATCGGAGCAGGGCACCAGTGCACTCACCAGTGAGATCTGGAGCGTGGTAGAGCCATGGACCATCAGGTTGTGAATCGCAGGTCCTGACGGATGAGTCTGATGATCGTGACGGTCATGGTGATGATTGTCGTTGTTGTTCACTATTGATCACTATGGCCAGCTTATAAGCTACATGCTCTTCTTCTTGCAGTCGAAGGTTTTTGTTGTTAAGATTGCTCCTGTTACTTGAAGGTTGTTGCGTTGACTTATTTACCCTTGCTAGTACCCTCTGAGGTCCACTGAGCTGCAGTCCAGAGGCTGAGGTGGACTTCTAGCTGACTGTCCTCATGTCCAAGCGAGGGACGTGAGAGTTCACGTCTTGTCCGGACTCAGACTGAAACTGAGAGCCACATGTCCTGAACCGCAAACTAAGCCAAGCACTTGAAGACACGCGGCCGACGGAGTCGCAAGGACAGACGCTAGTTGCTAGTGTCTTGCAGGGCAGTGGAAGGGCCCACCCCGAGGAAAATCGGCGTCACAGCCTGCAAGGGCAAGGGGGCATCTGAACTTTGGTTAGACATCGGCGGTATAGGTAGGGCTATAAGACGTCATAAGTGTAAGGATGGGTCTCATTCCTTTCACTTCTGCACTGCCTGAAGGGATTTTTTCTGCGAATCTCCGTCAGCAGAGTAAGTTCAGGGTTTGGGGTTTGTCGGGTCACGACAGTGTGTAGGGGGCCTAGTAGGCCTTTTCTTTTAGAATCATTTGGGGTTAGGCAGAAGGAGCCGGGATGGAGAAGTGGAGGCCTCGAGCTTGCTGTTGGACCTTGATGCCTGAAGCTTGACGATATAGCCGTTACAACGTCGTGCTGGACCCTCCCGTTGTTTTAGACTTCGGCCGATGCCTTCGACTTGGGAACTTCGACGTCGGCCGAAGCCTCCCACTTGGGAATGAAGTCCGGAACTTGGCATGCAGGGTTCCTGAGATGACTTTACCCTGAGATGACTTTCCAGTTCTGCGAGGGTTGTTCTGGCTTCGGTAGTTCGGGGTGCCGTCCTTCAAGTTTTGCCAGTAGACTCTTCATGATGGAACCCCCAAGCATGGGACCCTAGCCTTAGACCCCAACTTTGGCCTGCGAACTCCGAGAAAGGTGTTGCCGATGGCTTTTCCGCTGTGTCGGGTGCTCCGAGGAGGAGGTGGAGCAGGCTCGCTGCCTGGTCCTGAAAGTTAAGGGCCTAAGCCCCTACACAGCAACCGTGAAAGCAAAAAGCGAATGACAAACAACACTGTTGGATAACAAACCGAAGATCCATCGTGTTCCTGACAGGTACATGTCACTTTAAGGTCTCTGGACTTTGGATGTAGGTAGTTGGAGGCTTAAGGTTTGTTGGAGGGTTATTCGGGGGTCTGGGCAAGTCCTAGGATGGACCCAAATTAGAACAGCCCAAATCTTTTCAAGCTTGTCGTGGGTCAGGTGGAACGTCTATATACAAAGATTACAGGAGACCTGGTCATAGAGCAAGTGGTCTCGCAGAAACACTGGCACATGCTAATCGCAATGCTAGAATCTGGAATTGGGAAGTTCAAGAGCCTCCTTTCTTGTGAAGTCTTCACAGCACTGGGGGGCTGTGGAAAAGCGGCATGCGGGCAAGCCTGCTCTAAGGCCTTATTCGTCTGCATCGCAACAGCCGCGAGCAACAGGAATGCAACTCCTGACCTAGACGGGTCCACGAGAGCGTGTCCTGAGCTACCCGTTTCGGGTTTTCTTTCAACAGGCTGCGCCCCAGAAAGCTTTGGCTCTTCTGTCGATCTCCGCCGCCATGTTCAAAACTAAAGCAAAGTGTGGCGACCTCACACACAGCTGCAAAAGGCCTCGCTGGCCCGCAGAATTCTCACAACTGCTCAGAACATGCACCACGCCCGGCCGGATAGACTTGCCGCAAAAAATACAGCGCTGAATCCTGGCAGTGCTGGGGCGACCTTCAAGATGCGTCGTGGTCACAAACCCTGCCCTCAACCGACAAGAACCCCTGATTGCCAATTGTAAATGCCAATCCAAGTTGGAAAAAGTGGGAATCAGCTTCAAAAGCTGGCTGGGGGCGTGCTGGAATGTCAAGTACTGAGGAACGCGCACCTGTTGCTGAAAGCAAACCATCCAATCCTTGTGACCCAGACTCGCGCAACACTGCAAAGTGTACTTCTTGTAATGGCTTAACAGCGCCCCAGGTCCGAAAATCTCGAGCTACATGTGTATTATCTAACACACAAAGTGTCGCTTACCCTGCGCAGGCTAGCGGGGTAATGTCTACCCCGTTTTGAAAACATAATAACGTTTTAGTTCCGGAGGAGGCCCGAAGGCTCACGCGGGTTAGGAGTCTATGGGGAAGAGGCTGGGTGGGAAGGGTATGGTAGCATGTTCAGCCTTGTAGGTCGAACTATCGTTCCGGCGCAGCTTTGGCGGCACGGGCGCCCAGTCTTCGTGGAGTTCGGGAGGGATGATTGGAACATATGATGTCAAAACATATGGTAGACGAATATAGATAATGAAGTACGTATACATTATATTCATATATGTACATAGCGCAAGAGTTTGTTTCTTTTGAGCAATTATGGCTAAAGTCATGTCCTGCCCGGATCCCCTGGTTTCTGCTTTCTGGCTTTTGGACTTACGCTTGTGTGCTCCTAAACCCAATATCTTGCCACCAACCGCGATTCCCCAATGGCTTGCTGCAGGAAAGATTCTGTGAAGCGGGCTTCCCGAATAGCTTGCCACAAGACACGATCCTCCAAACGCTCATTCTCCAATAGCTTGCAGCAGAAAGAGTCTCCCACGAGTCCCACGAGCTTGCCGTAAAGCTGCATCCTTCAAGTTGTATTCGCCCACACGCGTTCAACATAAAACTGCGAGCCACGCAATTGAAGAGAAGCTCTTCATCTCGAGTGGCAGGAGTCGCAGCTGTCGTGAGCTGGAAGAAGCAATCTCGCATTCTGGCTACGATAACAGAAGGTAGGAGCTAGGGAAGAAGTGTCTGATTAAGTGTGGTCCACTGGTGACATGGCATGTTGCTCAGCATCGTGGCTCCTCACGAGTCGTTCCAGCCTGCTTCAATCCCATACATGCGGCCCCTACATGGTTGGGTTTCAGACAAACGACCCTTAATTAGATCCGACCCGTATTATTAGGATTCACTATCGTAAACATGGTACTTGGTCCTAGTCTGGGGATCTACCGGAGCCCGGGGTTGGAAAACCTTAATTCCTAAACCCACAAATTAAACTCACCCAAAGCCATCCTGCATGCAAGACCCCAACTAGACCGTAGATCCGATGAATCCGAAACCAAGACCTATCAGGAAGGGAGATTCTGACCACTCCAGAGTTGAAGGGTTCCGAAGCTCTCATCCGGACTCAAAGCCAGCAAGCAGAAGTCAGAATGCAGTGATCTTGGCAGTTCATCCAAAAACACTTGGAGTTCTCATACCAACTAGTAGAACAATAGCTTAACGAATACGGTAATGCGCTCTTAGCCTCCCATGGAGCCATGCTCCGCGGTCTGGGGCAGTTCTTCTGTCGCTTCTGTGGGGCGTCTCAACCGCAAGATCAGAAGCTTGAGGGGCCATTCGAACGGGTGCTTAGAAAAAGAGGTACCTCATTTCAGCGTAAGGGCCTTGGAAGAAGGATCCTTTTGTTTAAGGTCCAATTGAGGATCCCTTGTGCCTGAAGCGCCCAATATTTTGGCGTCACAGCCGTGGATCCTAGAATGCTGGTGCATGAGAATCGCTAGACTCACCAGACTAGACCCAAAAGCTTCAGCAGGCATCTTAGATTGGGAACTTTTGGCAACCTTCAGACTTGACGAAGATATCCGTCTTTCACCCTTGCGGAAACCCGAAGTAAGTCGGATTCAGGTCGCCCATAGCTATCTGTCCCATACAGATGAACATTGAGTTGCGAAACCCAGACGTAGATAAGACAGGCCCCAACTCTTCGATCGTTGCAGCACTTCCTCAATGATGGAGAGGCTGGGAGACTATTCAGATGAGAATTTAGTAACAATGTTCAAGGTTGCTGGTGCTGTAACTAATCAGTATATTCTGTGTACGGTGCAGTTTGGCATGCTATGTGTGCATCCAATATTTACACTCATACACATATATATATATATATATATGTATATATATATATGTTTGTGTATATGCGTAGATGTATGTGCAGACATGCATGTATATGTGTATATATATATATATATATATAACATATTTAAAACATATATAAAACATATATGTATATATATGTATATATGTATGTATATATAGATATATAGATATATATGTATGTATATATGTATATATGTATATGCATATTTACATACAAATATGTATATATGTATATATATATGTATGTATATGTATATGTATATGTATATGTATATTCATATATATGTATAAATGTATATGTATGTATGTATGTATGCATGTATATATGTATGTATGTATGTATGTATGTATGTATGTGTATGTATATACATATATATATATATGTATATATATATATATATATATATATATATAT